TGGCAGTATGGCATTGTAGTGTATCACGGAGCAATCCGGAACTTAATACGATTTTCAAAATTTGATATCTTTTTTTTTCTGGATTTGATGGATTTGGCATTTTTTCTTTTATGACCACTTTTTCAGACAGTGTGCGGACTTCCCCATGAAAAATATATGGACCGGTGGGCCAGCGACTGTTACGTGAGCCTTAAGCAATAGGTTCATAGCCAACAAGATCGGACTGTTCGAGCACCCACTGATGTGTTCGGCTTTCCGCTGCTGTTTTTGGAGGTGTGATAGCGGCCAGTGAACGCCGCCGCTGTTTCCTCTCATGCTTGCTGTTATTGTGACCGGATACTACAGGCGCACCTGCAAAAAATTAATCCTGCAACAATAATCGGTTAACAGTACTATTTGTTGTGAAAACCATACTGCGAGGCAAATAAATTCTGCACACTGGGCAACCACCATAGTGCCCACACAATCTGGGACGGACGGGTTTTATGGAAAAAGTACGCCTGATCTTCCCGTTTTATATCACCGCAAAAACTATTCTTCCAAGAAAGGGTTCACAAAGCACCGATGAAACGAGAATATCAGCACACTTATAGCAAGTTTGAAGTTTCGCCCAGTATTTTCAGTGAAATGTATTGCAAACGTACCGTTCGATATCCTTTGCTGCACAGCTGCGGAACGTGGCTGGGCCACGTATCTTATTGGAGAACTGCTGTTAGGTCGTCGATGCTTCCGATGCGGCCGTGCGTCACCATTCAGTGTACACGGATCATGAGGTGGTACTGGTGGTGGAGATGTCGGTAATTTCACTGGATTCGGTATGGGCAGCTTTTTATCCGTGACAGCTGCTCCATGCGCTCGCGCTGTATCCGGCACTTTGACTGACTCCAGTCCCAACTAAAATATACTCGAACTGTTTTATGAGGTGTTTTTTTTTCAAATAAATGCATATTTGAAATTTTGAAAGAGTATTTCGAGGGGCGGTGTTGCTAATAAGCTCAGCCACTTCAGATTTTAATCCTTCTCTCTAAGGGAGAGAAGCAGTTGCTTGTAGCGGTGTGATAACATTTCTATCGAAGTAGACCCGCAACAATTTTTTTCTCGATTGATGGCTACCGCAGGCGCAGGCTGACGATAGACTGATTCCCAAGCATCTATGCACCATCAAATCTTACTGGATCGAACTAAATAAACGCTGCGCAAGAGCTACGGGCAAATAGTTCTTTCAACAGAAAATTTCCGGGATTAGTGGTGTGATACCTATTAGCAGTTGAAGACACGCATATTGCTTATACATAGGCGGATCCAGGGGGAGGTGGGAGCAGAGGGAAGGGGAACGAGAGGCCTTTCGTGGCACAGGCACCAGTATTACAAAAGCGTCGGGTCTAAAGCCAAAACTAAACTATCGTTTAAGTAACTCTAAACTAAAGTAACTGTAAGTAGCAGTGTTACAACTCTATCCCTAGTTTTCGCGTAGTTTCCCCCCCCCCCCCCCTCCCGCCTTTTTGCCCTCCTTGCAGTCCGTCCTAGATCCGCCTATATGGTTTTAGAACTGTTTCGTTGACCACTGTGATATGGTGAATTGAGTGATTTTGAGTAAGAAATCTCTAAATCAATTTTAAATCGATTGAAGCTAACAATCTCGGAAGATGACAGCTTACAGCCTAAGCGCATAGGCAAATTTTTTAGGGAAAAATAATGGATATGTTTAGAAAACATAATTTAAAAACCGTCAAGCAGACTGGAAACGAACAGCAGCGGTGTTTGCGTTGTTCTCGGAGGTGAGACCGACAGCGTGGCGCGATTCACCGGATGAACGCTTTCGGTCACTGGCAGTAACTGCGGTTACGAACGGATCACGAAAACGATTTCGCTCATTGCGTCTGCGACGTCGCTCGCAACGACGCGCCTCACGTTTCAGTAAATATCGTTGATGGTCAATTTGTTTGGCCAATATGTTTGATAAGCACACTGACATACACTGAAACCATCCAGTGAAAGTGCCGCCGTGGACGCTGCATAAAATGCGCTGCAAGCGCGCATGCGCACGTAGAAGAAACTCGTACATAAGCTTCTCTCTTATTCGAGCAAGGCACATGGGAACGGTTGCACGGAAACGGTCAAGGAAACGAGTTACACAACCTCACAGCTGGCGAATTTCTTGTGCAAAAACGTCACAAGTTCCGCTACTCATTAGGAACCATGCTCTACTGATAAAATACTGGCTTAGCACTTCACCGCAATGACGGTCAGCCAGGGAATTTTATGCCACAGTGGTCACGAATGAATACGCACGTGGCAGACTCATTATGCGTTTTTGCATATATACAAATGCATACTGTGACGATTCCGGTGTGTGTGTGTGTGTGTGTGTGTGTGTGTGCGTGTGTGCGTGCGTGCGTCTTTCCGGGTATTTCAACTCAGCAACCAGCGCCAAAATTTTTCCAGTGAGTTTCCCGGTCAAGTGCCACTCCAGGACCGCGGTACTAACCCTCGCGCACCTCTGGGCTCCGTGTACGAACGCGTTAAAGTTTTGACAGGGGAATCGACTACTCGGGAACCTGAAAAGCTGGGAGGCTGAGGTTTTAAGGGAATGCTCCCAGCCCAAGTACAACTTAAAAATCATTGGCGACGCGCACTGGGGGCCCCGTGCGATCATGCGTTCTTGCAGTGCTTCGTGTTGTAATAAGATTACTCGAAATTCCGCTAGCTAGAAACCTCTTGTGCATACTGGCCCTCGAATTTCGGGAACTTAATTATCCACGCTATAGAGAACATTTCCTTGAAATTCCATGTTCTCAGCTTTCTCAGTTCTCGAGTTACCAAAATTGCAGTTAAAAAATTTCACGGGGCCGTACGTGGCAACCACGCATGGCAGAGAGCTGAATTTGATAAATTAAAGTTGTAGATGAGTTGGGAACATTTCCTGAAACTTTCAGTCCCCCAGCTTTCTTGGTTCCCGAGCTAGCGATTTTCGCTTCAGGAACCCTCAGGGGGCCGTACGCGGTACTCACGAATCCCCGGGGGCTGAATTTGAAATCTTTGAGTTCTACTTGTACTGGAAACATAATCCCAAAATTTCAGCTTCCTAGCTTTTCTCGTTCTCGAGTTAGCGATTTTTCCGCCAAAACTTTGAGGTGCTCGTACGCGGGGCCTGGACGTGCTTGTGGGTTGGTACCGCGGTCCTGGGGTGGCACTTGGCCGGGGAACCCACTCACA